AGGGACTCGCCAGGTTCCCGAAGGACGGATATTCCAATCCGATTGGAAATTTATGTCCTTACACCCGTAACTATTTTCGTACAGTAGCGTATGAAATTACAACTTCATTCACAACGGCGAAATAACGTCATCCAAAGCATGCCATTGTATAGCACGCGACTCATCTGGCACCCCCATGACAGATGAAATATCCGGCATGGGTAAAATTTACGGAAACACCAGTCTGATATGCAAGAAATACTCCGTCAAATCAGTATACTAGTTTATGTTTATAAATGAAAGTCTGGGTTTCTATTTAGTGATATAAAACCCATAGTATTCAGAGTATATCACTCATAGTGTTGTTAACATAGCTTTGCCGATTTTTGTGGCCTACGTATTAAAGATATACTATGCTCAAATTTCATATTTGAAAATATTTATGATTGCCACACAATCTCTTTGTAAATATAAAATAAACATGTTTTAACTTCACACAAAGTAGATATGTGGTGATTTAAATTCTACACACTATAGGTACTAGGTGGTTACAATATGAATATATAGTGTCATTAAAAAACTGGCAGTTTTTTTTAAGAAAAGACCAAATTAACATGACCTGTAATAAGGAACGCAGCTTCCAATACACAATTTATTCATTCTTTTATTAAAATTGGTTATATTCGGTAAGAATTACATTGATTTCAATAAATTTCTGTGATAAAAATATTTTACGCAAGGATGTGCATAGTTACTGTATATCTTTAAGTTATGATTCCGTAAGTTTTCCTATAAATGTATTGTGTATCTTGTTCTTTCAAAACATATTTCTCGATTCAATGACAATTACTGAACTAAAGTAATTTTGTTCCTCCGCAATGATGACATTATTCCGCTGTTAAACTCATTTTTTAAGTAACAACTGCACTGATAAACTTTTTCGGGAAACCTTTAACATTTGCTCAATCGTATTTTAAGTATCATAAGAAAGAGAATTTCAAGGAAATTTATGAGTTGACAAATTTAATTTCATCTGTTCAAACGACACTTGATATATTGTCCTTGCGACAGTGAACACTTTCAGGCTTACTTACTTTAAGAAATTAGACAATAATCCCATTTAGTCTTTCGATTGTTATTGTATTTCCAATGTCAAGTTGTTTTCCAAGTATTTCTCTTTAATCATATACATGTATATAGTAACATGTAGAGGCTGATATACATTATATAAATCAGAATAAACACTTTAATGTCAATAGAATAAGGAAGATATTACATTACGTTGGTATCATTGTTTAACTTAACGGATATAAAATAATAAGAGTATATAATTAAGAGACAAGTGTTCTGTTAAGTGAATGTGAGAAAGACACTTGAAGTTGTTGAAATACATTCCTGCTTTATATAAAATTAAATGGGAAGAAAATAAACCGAAATAATTTTAATTTTGTCTTGTTTTATAATACATGTAATTATTGCAATACCAGTTTTAGTCTCTGAGAATATGGCATCGTAAATTGTTGAAAGAAGCCGGAAATGGATGATAATCAGGTAAAACTGAATGAAAATTGAGTGATTCTGACTAAATTGGATAATTTCAGTAAAATTACAGCTACGTGCTGAATGACCCCGAAAAACATAGTGTTATGATATCGTTAAAGCAGCATACCTCACGGAAAATGTATTTAAAAGTACAATATTGTGAAGTGAACAAAGGAAGCAGTTTTCACATTGCAAACGACACTTACAATCTACGTAAAATAGCCCCAACTGTATTATATTGTTGATTGCTTTGTTTTTTGTTTCTTTTTGTTCTTGTTTTTTTTTTCAATATGGTATACATGTATACATATACAATTATATAATCACACAACGACGTGTCAAACCATCAACATGTCCATACGCACTTCTTTGTGTGATATAACACAGCATATTTACAGAACAACTAAATATTCTCTATTTACATGTACGCACATTTTTGGGTAAAAAGTTTATGACTATTTACGGTAATACCGCCGTCCTAGAACCTATCAGATGACCTTCGTATCGACCATTATTCCAGAACAATTTCTCGTAAAAAAGACAAATATTACCGAAGCTTGACTGAGCATTCAGATTTTTTTCACCATATTTCTACTGCGTTACTAACACAGTAAGGGCTATTTTCTATATATCTAAAATTTTCATGAAAATTACAGCAAAAATCTTGAGCGTGCTGCTTTGAGGATATGATGTCACACTAACGCAGTATTAAAATTGTATGTTTATATCATGTCTTGGCAATAAGATAATTCTTGAATGTAAATTCAAAAAGTTATATCTCATTTTTTATTTATTCCTGCAATTTTTTGAAACATAAATGTTGGTATTTCTGTGCACATTCATTACCTGAGTATTTTGACCTTATATAAGGATGGTTCCACATACTATATTCAAAAATGCACATCGTATAATGATATATTGACATCATATAAAGACATATTGACATCAAATATTGTGCAGTTGACTACATATAAAGATGGATCCACATAATATATTAATGAGTGCACATTGTATACGGAAAAATTGACTAAATATATTGCTTGTTGGACATAACAACGTTCAGGTTTATAATAATAAGACAGTCAAGGCTTTCCATATACTTGTATATATCTATTCGTGCAACAAGTCGTTACATGTACTTAAGATGGCTTACAATTGACACGGTACTCTTTAACAATAAAAATGTGAGCTTCGTCGTTAGTAACGTTAATAATTTACATACTAAGATACATGTATATAGGAGTTTATTACCCTTCCAGATTTTTTCCGCCTTTTTGATTGGATATTGATCACCCGAAAGAAATTGATATAACCGAGCCAGACGGGTAATATACGCACTAAATTTCCCCGTTTGGTACCCAACGTTGTAAACAACATGCGCCGAGGTGATGTGCGTACGGTTCGATTTTACGCGGTGTAAATTCCGATTTAAAAGCACTTTTTAACTGTCAAATGATCAATATTTACCAAAGTAGAGTAATGATACATATTACCATCAGTATCAAAAACAAATATGACCTTGTGAAAGCTTGATATTAATTTCAAAAAAGTGCGTTCAATAGACTACTCCTTTTCTCTTGTTTACTTTCGTAAGGTACGGGAAAAATACGTCATGTATTTATGTGACGTCATGTTGTGACGAAGAGGTATCCTAAAGGGAATCTTATTTCGACGTTTCATTTGAAACAGCAATGATTTTTTAAAAAATCGTCTAAACTCGGCAGGGGAAGGGTAATAAAATTATTATTTTGGTTTTGGAGTGATATATGTGGATATATTACCTGCCAAGATAAAATATCACCCGCGCCTAACGGCTCGGGTGATATAAAATCTTAACAGGTAATATATCCACATATATCACTCCAAAACCAAAATAACATATAATATGTCAAGCAAAACGATGATGTAGTTTATTCACGTTGCATTTTTAATCCGTCAAATAACACGACGTCACTTATAATGTTAAAAAGCGTTATAAATCAAGTTTTCTTTGTCTAATAATAATAAAATTTGTCTTAAATGATTTAGAAAAGATTGCATTTTGAGAATCTTTGAAAAAAGTAAAATGTCAAATATGACAACTATGTTGGAAATGTCATGTCACGGCTCATATGTCTTTAAAATATGTGAGTAAGAAAAAACAACAACAAAAAATCACATTTTATATAACGTAAATTTACGAGGATTAGTCAAAGTACACGTACACTGTCACCAATAGTGGTAAATGGTTCACCCTAGTTACCCCTATGTAAACTGTTTAAGGCCGTCATGCGAAATAAACCTTCTGTTTAACAATAAAACATTGGTATGTATGAACTTAAAAATTGATCAGGACTATATTGTTATTTTACGAGGGTTATCACAGAAGTAAAGACTTTAATCATAACTGCTTTATTTACACTCATGTCGAAAATTTCTACTTGAAAATAATTTAATTTTTATCATCTTTAAAACGCTCTATATCGAAATTCTTTCTTTTTTGAAAATCGATGCGTTTCCAAGGTAACATGTGTGACGGTCGGCGAACTCAAAATTTTATGTCGTCAAGAGAGAATTTGCCCTCTTTAAACCTTACAAAGACGTACTAACGGCACGTTTTTGCGCTCAAAATTTTTCTGCTTCCAGATGACGCTAAAACGTCATTTTCTGTTTGTTTGGACTCCATAACATTATCAGTAGCTGAAAAACAGCACTGTCTACGCTGAGAAAATAGTTATGACGACAACCGGCAACGTCAATCTACGGGCGCTCCGTTCTGCCATGTACATAGGAAAATAGACCTACAAATGGGTTCAGGAGGCCGGAAAATTTAAATGCTGCCGTTCAATAGTGTTTAGATGATAAGTAGTTGCTCTCCTGTCTGCAATTGTCACTTGTAAAGCTGATTAGAGTACAGATTGACATAATCCGCAGGTTAAAAGCTAGAAACTTAGCCGCAGCATATCTAAGGATACAGATTTTCGGATACTGCAAGATCTGAATATGAGCTAGATTGGTACCCCGACTTCTCACCGTAGACCTAAAGACCTAGTGCGTTGAGTCATTGTTAAAATTTCTTGACCGTTACTAGGAAGAAGGCGATACGTTTCTAGACAGAAAAGTCACCAAGGAAAAAGCTTGACTATGAAATTATGACCCAGATATAACGGCCAAGACGTCCATTTGTAAAATACAAAGCAAACAACCGCCAATCAGGAGGCAAGCACATGTGTGTCTTCTTTATGGACAGACAGAGAGGAGTTGATGACGGAAACTCGTCCTTCATTTTGCCACTTTTTTTACAAATAGGCCGCACGCCACAGGAAGAGTGTTCGCACTGGCGGAGACTAGGCAGAGAAAAAGCGCTGTAAGCGATGTCATTTATTGTTTGAGTTTACTAATGATATCTTAAGTTACAACGGTTGTCTCTCTACTTCTGCGACAACCCTCATACAATCCTATAAATACCGGCTTGTTCATCGATCATGTTTACGTTTTACGACCGGGCTTCATATAGTACACACGATACACTGTTTAAGAATTGTATGGTAACTTCGTTCAAAATACATCCACAGCGGATTGGAGATGTTTAATAGACACGTCATCCTGTTCATAATTTGGAACAATCTCGTTATGATTTTTGCTCAGGATTACACTAAAGAACCACCAGGTACTGTGGTACCTCCATCCACAACGGGGATGACTGCAGAATCGCAAACTGATGATAAGGACACTGATAACGTTGGATCAGATCTGGATGGGATGAAGGCGTTATTTAATGCAACTTTATCAGAGTAAGATAAATGTTTATTGTAAGATTTACAGTAATCAACCAATCTACAATATTTTAAACCATAAAAGATATTGAGATTTTGAAGGATTATCGTTAGATTGAATATATTGTTGTAATGAATGTTACGTTTTATTTAACAGATGTTTGTTCATTGACAATTTAAATTTACTTCATGTACTTGCCGACAATGTGCCATATTGTGTGATATTTATATGCACTTTAAGTATTGTTATAATGAATTGCTGTTTGAGTCTTAAATTGTTTTTAAACTACCAAATGAATTTTTTTAACGAATTCAAGTCACAATTGGTTATCACAAACACAATCTTTTATTGTGATAAGATTAATACCGTCGTATATAAGTGCATAATATACTCCAGCAGTGCCTTAATTGCTATTCTTTGAGGCATTTTATTATTTGTTTGTGTACTTTATAGCTTCAAAAATGTAATCATTGGCCATTTACTTGAACTATGTTTTTATTATGCAAGTCAAAATACTATGGTTACATTTTGCTACGTTTGCGGCAAATTATTTGACGTTTTCAAGTAAAATTCACCTTACATGCTCAAAACCATAAAATAAACATTATTATAACATTTATGTTTGCCTTTACTAATAAAGTTAAATTTCTGAAGCCTAATGTGCCCTTAGAAAAAAAAATCCTATTTTTTAAATAATCATTTGTATTTTATTTAAATCATTTCTGATAGTTACATTATTTGTTTCCTTAGCTATGACACAAGAATCCGGCCACGAATCGACCAATCACATGTTGTAAATGTTAACACTACATTCGTGCCACAGAGTGTTCTGCATTTTGATACATCCGAACAGAAATTCTCTGTCCTCGGTTACTTCAAGATCGAATGGAAAGACGAAGTGATCACATGGAATCCTGACGATTTTGCGGGGACAAATTATATAAAAGTCCCAATTTCCGAAATATGGACTCCTAGCCTAATAATTCTGAAGGTATTCTATTCTATTTGATCTTCGATGAATTGTGTATCTTGTTGTTTTTGTAAAAACATCGAATTGTCTACTTCTAGTCAATTCTTTTAAAAGCTAAAATACATTTTGATTGTGTTTTCTTTCTTTGTGTCATTGTATTCGGAAAACAATAATAGAAATAATGATTTTGTCTTAAGAGTCTTTGCACAATAACAAATTACGTCATTGCCAATAAGCAGTTTTAAAAGAACAGTATATACTGATTTGATTAAAATTCTCCATACCAGTTCAACGGATTTTCATTGTTAATTCAATAATGTCTGATTGCAGTAAATGATATCAAAATGAATGCTTTCTTCTATAGGCCTTTGACGGTGACGGTGTTGTTGGAAATGCAAAAACAGACATTGCTAAAATCTGGTCTGACGGGTCTGTTCAATGGGTTCCAGAGAGTATATATAGGTATCTAAATCACTATATTTGATGAGAAAACAAAACACGTTAATGCAATTGAGTGCTGATATTTAAGCATTTTTTTCAATTCGATATTACACAATTTAAGGTACTGTTTATATAAGAATTACACTATTAATTAGATTTATTTGTATTGTAAATTAAATGTAACACTTTGATTCTGCATTAAGTGTCAAATGTTCTTTTTATTGCAACGTCAGTTATGTAACATTTATTTTAAAATGACAAATGAATTTAACGCTAGATTGTGGACAGAGAATACTGCCGAATTATTTATCAGATACAATAAGGTATTTAACTAAATACTGACTATCATAATGACCCTTATTTTCCCTTAAATGATTCTGGATATCTTATTTCTTTTTCTCAGCGTAGTTTGCAATGTGAACATCAAGTTATATCCGTTTGATCACCAAGCCTGCACAGTTACATATTACGTTTCTGATGAGACTATAACAACCGTTATGCTTGACCATCCTAAAAGCGTCACTCTGGACGAATACACGGAGAATTCAGCGTGGAAAATAACCAGTCTCAACAAGAGGAAGTACCTTCTGTATAACACATACCACATTGACATAGAATTCCAGCTACAGAGACGACCTAACTTTGCAACATTTACTTTGATTATGCCTCTCCTGATGTTGGCATTTCTTAATATTTGCGTGTTTCTTGTTCCTGTTGGGTCTGGTGAGAAAGGTTCCTTTGCTATTACCATATTCCTTTCTTACGGTATCTTCGTTACAATCGTAAGTGACACTTTACCGGACAACTCCCTTCAAATTTCTTACTTTCTACTCTTTATCATCGTCCTGCTCTTTATGAGCGTTCTTTCCGTCGTGTACACCATCATACAAGCCAAATTTATGTCTAGTATGGGTGACAAAGAATGCAGCATCAAATGTTTTCAACCTAGAAAACCCGTGATAATGAGACCGACACCGTTTGATCCAACAAAAGGGTATACGGATGACGTGAATGATCCAGCAGATTGTAAACCAGTCAGCAGAAATGACGATGATGATGAAATATATACATGGGCAATGTTTCTGGAGAAACTCGACGTGATTCTCTTCATCATCTTCTTTGCTCTGGTACTTTTAGCAACGTCTGCTTTCTTCAGTCTGATGCTGCAAAGAGTAAGCGAGGATAAGTTCAGTAAAACATAGGTGCCATAGACTATCTATATAGAATGTGTGATAAGATGTACATAGCAAAATGTACACAATTTGAGAACCAATTTTAAATTTTATTTGAATAGTTGTTTTACAGTGTGTGTGTTGTTTTCATTTAGATTTACATGAACAATGAATCATAATGAGTAACTAAACACGGACGGCATAAAACAATTGAAAAAGTTACAATAAGACAATAACATTAAGCAGTCATGATCACGTGTATGTGACCTATTACTGATTTTATTGTATGTTTTTATTTAAGTTGGTCTTCAAGGCTACGGCCACTTCAAATCATTTTCACAGAGGATACTTTAGAGGCTGACCTGTTAAAACTTACTGCATAATTATGAATAGAACATTCGGATATTTTTAATTATCGCTTGAACAACACATGTTTGTTATGGCTTTGCATGTCATTCAATATTTATATGTTTATTTGTTTCTCTTTTGTTTATATATTATTCAATGTAAATAGTTATAGTTATTGCATTATTTTTTTCCTGTTTATTTATCGGTTAATACACTTACAGTTTGTTTATTAAATGATTTATTAAAAACTTATTGTTATTGTTCTTTCAATTTTACTGTCCTATGTTTAGCATATAGTCTATACTATTTGAAGTACGTTAAATTGTGGTGTCCAAAATGCACAATCTATCAAATAGATTTAACATTTGACTTCTCTTGTTTTAATTTGTTGTGAATATTTGATATTTGTGTATAACTTCGAAATTTCTAAAACAAACAGTGTATTCATCTACAGTTGGATTTTAATATTTAATCGAATTCGAAAACGATTTACAAAAGATTCAAATCAGAAATCAACATAGCACAACATAGCATATTTTCAAATTTTACATTTGGAAAAGAAACACTCACAAAAAAAAATAAAATTAAATAAAATTAAATAATAATAATAATAATAATTATAATAATAATTAATTATTTAATAATAATAAATTAAACATTAATGATAATAATATTAGTAATAATAATAAATAAATAAAAAAAAGATAATAAGGAGAATTAATCAGCAAAATATCTAGGTCTGTCTGTACGTTGTTGTGTATTGTAAGTTCGTCTAGAAGAAAAAACAAAACATATGATTAATCAAAAGAGAGTGCAACTGAAAATCTGCGACCTTCTGTGCCGGGTTTTGACAATACTTATTTGCAATAATTCAAAGTTTAAAGCATTGAAAAATGAATATTACTAAAGTCGGTCATTTTCTTTATCTATAGAAATACAAATGTGTAAATATTTCATTAGGAAACTAATTCGCATAATAATTTCCTCTTATTCACTTAAAGACATGTTATGCTACAGAAATGCATTTATTATTATTTCTTTAAATCTTTATTTTTTATGTTTAATAATTGTCATTGACCAATTGCCTTAACTATCATTTGCTTTTAGGCATTACATACAGTTATAGTGATTTTGTTTTTTTGTGTGAAAGTCAAAAAATAAATTATAGATTGTTTACACTTTGCTACTGTTATGACCAATTAGTTCAGATTCAGTGAAACATTGCTATTAAGATATTGGTACGGATCAGCTATGGAAAGCTGCATTACACACACTAGATAAAAACAAAAACATGTACTTACATTTAAAATCTCTTACACGTGTTTCAACAAAAGTAAACGGTAGATTATAGTACAAGTTACAAATCTATATTTAGTTATATTAATGTATACATTAATACTGTTACAGTAGCACTTTAAGTTTCTGAAACTGATGGACTGAGACATGTTTTTTAAATCTAATACACTTAATTTCAATAGACACTTTTAGTAATCGTGCATTTTAACATACAATTGCAATACATTTGAAGTATTTAATATATTAACAAGATTTATATTCACACAAACAGCATAACAACCGTTTATTTTGGCAATCAATAAAATAAACAAATTACACAGCAGGTTAATTCTAACAATACAACTCTTTCGTCCATTCTATTGACTATTAAAAGCATAAGTAAATAATTAAGGTTTACATTATAGACATCTATGATTGAGAAATATTTTAATAAATATTTATCGCGTTTGGGTGTTAAAAGTCAATTTTGCAATTGTTTAATGACATAGAAAGATCAAACGTAATTTTACTGTGTATGTGATGTGTTTATTACTTAACTATAACTTAAAACAAATGAAAAGAAACCATAGAAATTCAAACAGAAAATATTTAATTGTCAGTTAAGCAAATGAAAATACATTTTTTTTCTAAAACACAACAAAGTTTGTTTTTAAGATACAACCAAAGACAGTCTTGTTTTTTATGGAGCTATTGTTCTTACATGAATTTTGTATGTGACTAGACACATATTTTTGAAAGTGAGGTACGGGTAACTTTTACAGCTGCCACACAGCACTTGACACCTGCTGTTGTGTAAGTTTGTAAGTTTTCATCGTATCAATATAACTTTTAAATTGTGCTGAGCGGTCATTTACGGGCAAATGTACTTCCGTGTTTTATTTGTCATACATCTATTATTACATTGTAACATTTTATCTTTATTTATCTATCTAGATGTGTCACTTTAATTATACTTGCTTCGTATATGCCCGAATGCATCGTCTTAAAAGCAAAATACATTTCATATGTAACTTAATTTCAAAAAATACCCACAAATGTGTTCATCATATATTAAGTATGACTCATAATTGCCATTCAATGAAAGTAAAAGGATCTTCGTGTGCTTGCCAAAATGAAAAAACAAAAGGCGCAACTAAATTAATTAGAATTTAGAAGCCTGTGTATCACAGATCAACAGACAGGCGCATATCCTTAAGGTGAATGAAAATACTGAATTCAAGTGAGGAATACTGGAAAACTCCAACCATAAAAGTAAAAAAAAACAACAACACCAAAAACAAGAGTAATTTGTCAGCCATAGTGGACAGAAAACGCAAAGAGATATATCAAGAAACGAAAAACAAATTTTAAATCAAAACAGAGGAAAACTATTGAAGTGCAACAACATTCGAATTAGTAACCACTGTTGGGTGTATGTGTAGAAATAAAAACAATAATACACACGGAATATCAGATATCACACATTATCAATACCATGATAAATTACTTATATAATTATAAAAACATATTAATAGTTGCGACCCTTGGCTCAAAACGTAATCCAATGCGGCGTATTTAAATTATAAATACGACTTATTTTTTTACATAAAACGTTTTTGAATCAGTTCCCACGAGATCGTGTTACAATGAAGAATGACATTCAACTCAGACTGTGGAATTTCTATTAAACTAAGCCTGCAGTAATTTTTATTTGGACGTAATGTTTCCAATTTTGACCATAGGATTTCAACAAAACTAAAGTCACCAAATACATTTACTTATATTATTACGGTTATTGTTATTTTATTATATTTGATATTGCTATAGTCAGTTTTTGTTTACATTATGTCAAAAGTTTATTGAGGCATATATTCGTTTGAGTGACTTTGAGTTCTACTTTTCCATTTTTTTTCACATAATTATTGTCATTGTCACCAAGTACTCAAATGCATATTTGCGGGGTTTTGTGTAATGATTTTCAGAAATAGATTCTATTTTGCTTGGTTATACATCAAACATTTCTTAGTTTTGCAGCGAACCTTTCTAATCATAAAGTGCCCTGGTGAATATTGCCGGGGATTTGAAGTCAAATGATTGCTTACAACATTCAGGCCCTTCGGTCATTTTCAACACTGTTCTGTGTGCATCTCAAAATATTCCTAAGGAATTGCCACAAAACTGTGAAAGAGCTAATATTATCAACAGTTTTTCGTATATCTGTGGGGGTTTTGTGATTTAATTTGTAAAAGGAAATTATGGTCCTCACGCTTTATTTTTTTTATATGAAAGAAAATAGTAGAATAACTCATTTCTTTTCTCAAGGCCACTGATATTTCTGAAAGGATGTCAAGCTTTATTATTATTGACATAAACCTTTTTCTTTGATTAGAAACATATTGTTTTGCTCATAATTTTACATATACAGTGGTAAATAATGTGTGTTGCACAATGTTGAGTACAGTACTGAATTATATTGGTCGAATTCACAGCTGTCAAACCTTTATTGATCAAGGCACACGCCGAGTGTACTATAAGTATTGCAATTTTGTACAAGTCCAATAGAATCAGTATTGTATTCAACAATGTGTAATGGCTTTTTTGTTTCTTTGTTCTCCTAGAACAAATTTGATAATGATTTTCTAAAGATTTAAACGACACTATTTATAGTGATTTGAACTCAATGTTTTGGACTCGCAAAATAAAAACAAGGAATAAAATAGTAATACCATAGGGACTCTTTTGATTAAACATAC